CAGACGAGGCGGGCCGCCGCGGTACCCGCTGGGTTTTAACCGGGGCGGCCGAGGGAGCTCCCGGGGGGCGGGGGGGAGAGGGAGGGCCCGGCGGAGCTCCGCAAAGATGCTGCGGACAGGCCCCCGGCTGCTGCGGACCATCTGCACGACGGGCGCGGTGAGTGGTGCGGGGCGGGCGGCGGAGGGGACGCGTCCCCCCTCCTTCCCCCCCCTTCCCCGCAGCGAACGGCGAGGGGGGGCTGCTCCTCCCCGGTCGCGGGGCAACCGGGGGCCGAGCAAGGAGGGGGGGAAGTGGCATTTTTCGGGATGGCGACGCGTATTGTCCCCGGCGGGGCTGTAGTAAAGCGCGTAGAGGCGCGGGAAGGTCAGGAGGGTTGGGGAGAGGGCTCGGTTTGGGCGCAGAAGCAGCATCTTGCCCGGTTGGACCGCGGGCGGGATCGCAGCCATCATCTGGGCAATGCATCTCGCAGGGATGTGCCTGGAGGCTGCAGGGAGCGGGCACCGGCGATGCTGTGATCATCCCCGGGAATCGTGTGTGTGTGGAGAACAATGTGAGCGCGGCTGTTCCCTGCCTCCCTCAGGCTGGATTTGCCCTGTGAGGAGCTGAAGGTTGTCTTCTGGGTTAGGAAAGCCCACGTCCCTTCTCAGTGTCGGAGAGAAACCCCACGCTTTGGCCTAGGAAGAGTATTTAGTTTGTGACCTTCTCATCGCCAGTTCCTAGCTCTGGGTTGAAGTTGATGGCCTAAATTCCTCTGCACCCCATGGTTTAATTTCTTACAGCTCTGCACATTTGTTCCAACCCACTCTTTACGTCCTGTTAAATATATAGACTGCAGAAGTCCTGCAGCCAACCGCTTCCTGAGAGCCTTGCCCCATCCAAATTGTCCAGATGTGGAGGTCTGGCGAGCCCAATGAGGCTGGGAGAAGATTTTTTTCTTTCCTAAAGGCTGTTCTTTGTTTCATGTGAAGGTCTTAGACTGAAGAGATTTAACACAAGCTTTTTGGAAATGCAATCAGCAGTGCCAAAAAATGAGAATGAATGACTGGTGAGAAGGCACTGCCTGTAGATGTGTAAATGGGAGGGGAGGCTCTACGATAGGTTTCTATTTGGAGGCACTGCAATTTGGCACATGTAGGGGGACCAGTAGAAATAAAGTTGCAATACTGCTTTTCATAGGAGGCACAATTCTACATTATAAAAAATGTTTTTTAAATGTAGCACATAAAAATATTTACTAGCTTCACTAAATTCTTATACAGAATAAATAAAATACTGTAGTCTTTTTGATAGTAAGCTTCATAACCAAATTAGCAGGTACTAAATGTTAACCTTCAAGAAATTTGATTAGAAACTTGTAGCCAGCTGAATGTTAGACACACATACCAAAGAAGTAGTAACAGAAAATTATTTTTATTTATTAAATAAATAGTGTCCAATGGATAGGATTTGTAACGCTAGACTCTTCTGAGAGAAGAAAACGTAGCTCTTGGACTTGTCTACCATTTTTAGGAACTAGAACTTGACAAGATAGCTACCAGCATTTGTCAAGCTGCTTCTTTATGCAGTGCTTAATGCTATTTATTATTTTATATTTGGTTTGGTGTTTTGGAGGAAAAAAAGAACCAGAATGGAAGCAAACATTAAAATACTGTATATCTGTTGATGGGCCATTGTAAAATAAATACCAGTACTGTATCAACAGATGATACGGCCAGAATTTTTAAATAGGGAAGTTATAATAGGCAGTGAAAAAAAACGCAAAGTGTACTTTCAGAGAAGCTGAGCGTTCCAGATAAGACTGCTTGTAAAAGTAATTCTCAGGTTTTTGCTTCTTGCCTTTATCTTGTTTTCTTCATCCAAATTGGGAGCACTTGAGTCAGGGAAACCGAATGAAGATTGATCTGTGTTACAATATAAGCACAATAGAAGGTTAAAGAAGAAATTAAGAGTTCAGGCAATGAAAACATCAGAATTACAGTATAGTGAACACCAACTTCTAAATTCTTACCTTTTGGTAGCACTGTCATAATAACTACATTATCCTATGATTACTAAAGTAGTAAAAGAAAGGCCAGATCTCTCTAAGCCACCTGAGCTGTCTTGTTTGCCATAACTAGGCAATCTTATAAAATCTTATAAAAAGTGATCTTATAATCTTATAAAAGTATGGCAAAAAACCCACTCTGGTACTACATGACCATTAATCTTCCCATGCATCTGTTAATGAATGTTGTATGTCTGTAGTCAGCCAGGCAGGAAGAAATCTAGAATAAGCAAAAGAAATCTAGTATAGACAGAAACAATAAAAACTTTAATCTTTATAAGTGTTGGGGATAATGATCCAGTATCCATCTAGTACATTATTCAACAAGAAAGTTGTTTTACTGTTCTTTAATGAGCTTCCATTCTACAGCTTCTTGATGAACACTAATGATGCTATGCTGGCCAAAATGCGCTATTTCTGTAAGAAAGAAAAAGCCAAACTGTTTTTCATTTCTGTGTAATCCTGTAGAAATTCCCATTTTAATGGGGTGTTATGTCCACATTAAATTCGTCTAAAAGGATTTCCCACTTTCACAGGTCTAACTCATCTTACATAAAAATGCTTGAGGAGAATTTCCTCAAGAAAAGCAAGAAAATAAGATACAGGGTGGTTATAAGATCTCATGCAGTTGCTTAACTCTCATTTTTCAAATAAGACAAAAAATGAAGGATTGGATTTGTGGTCTGATCATGCAAGCCCTTCCACACATTCCACATATTTTTTTTTTTTATTTTTTAACTCAGTAGAAATCCTGTGCATGGCTGACTTGTGGGTTTGGCTCCTGCTTTCTACTGATGGCAATGTATGTGTTAATGCGCTACAAGTAAATTGCCATGTCTAAACCAGGTGTTAATAGAAATCATGCAATACACTTATACTATTCATTGGAGAAGTAACTCAAGAATCAGCGGTCATAGCACAATTACCAAATTGACCTTGCAGTTGAAATCAATCTCCATTTGAGTAACTTTCTATAAGTCTGAGACAGCAGGGCTCATTTGTTTCCAGGCAAATCTTCTTGTGCACTACCATGAAGAAACAGGACTTAGCCAGTCTGCAATCTTCTCAATTTTGCCAGTTTTATTTTGTTGTTCCTTTGGAGTCTGTGTCCTCTGTTTACTTCTCACCATTTGTTGACTCAGTTCCAAAACTAGCAGAAATCAAGCGGGTATAGCTTTACCGAAATAATTTTGATTTATAGCAACTCATGATTTGGAACTGAAAATGGTATGCAGTTCCATGTAATGTGAGAATGAGATTTATTGACAGGGAAACGTGAACTGAAAGTTAAGTTTAGGAATAGAGGATGCATGTGTTATTAACACTTTGTGAATAAGTAGAGAAAAAGTTGCTCTCAAAGTGGTGATAAATTTGGACTAAAAATTACAGCAAGATTGGCCAAGGATCAGAAAAGCAATAGAGTACAGCAGTGAGTAAAAGTACCTTAAAATGGAGGTCAGATACATTTATAAAAGCAATCATGTGACATGATTGCTTGTGATGGCAAAGGACTAGATTTGTTAGCTAAGGAGATCCCTTCCGGTCTTGTGTTCTTACTGAAAGATGTTAACAAAAGGATGAAAGTAGAATAAGTAACTCTCATCTGAACTATCTTTAATGTTTCTTCAATGTAGTGCTTGGGCTACTGCTGTAAATTAACAACGTAAAGAAATCAGAGGGTTTCATACCATGCCAAACACGTTCAGTGATCCAACATGTTAATCTTTCTCCAACTTGCCTGCTATAGTTAAAATAATTAAGTGATTAGGAAAATCTGATGTTTACTTTCTATAATACAACAACATTTCTGCTGCAAAAGCAAAGGTATCAGTCATAAAACATTGGTAATAAAATCTACCTGCATTCGGTGAGCCTTGCTAGACAAGGGTTGCAAGGATAAGTTGTGCTCATTGTAATTCAGAGCAAGGGCTTGTCTTTATTAAGAACAAAATAGTGGACATATTTTAGGTACTACTGCCACCAGTACAGCATTGGTGAGGAATATTATCATCATCAGTCTCACAGACGTCTTCTACCAGCCAACTATAACAATCTGATTTTGCAAGATCCTGAGTTATGTCCACCTTTGCATCTTACTACATGCTACTACTGCAGTTGCACCAGTGCTGACTAACGCTGTAATCGAGGGACAGTTTTAGTATGCAGTTTCATTCTGAGGGAAAATATCATCTCTGGACAAATAGTTATTTCCTATTGTTTTATATAAAAAATACAAAGCACACTTCAATATTCTTCTAATGAAACCTACCATTTCATAACTCCCTTTCCTGAGGCTAGCTGCACCGCTTAAATGTAATTTGAAGTACAGCACCAAAGTACATCAAAAATAGTTCAGCTGTGAAATGAATTGCAATGAAACAGATTGTGGTTTCGAGTAACCTGTTTTTCAGGAAATTTCTGTTTGTCATAGCGTTTGGCATATGATCTGATGGGCAGTCCAGACCATTTCTTAGTCAAGGTCTCCTCATGTCCCAGCCACTGTAAGAAACAGAAAGGAGGAGGGAGGAGAAAAACATAGAGGTGCCAACATACAGAACAAATACTGGTGGTTGAGATATTCAAACAGTGCTTTGATTTCTCTCTGTCATTCTGAGCTTACGGCATCTAATGGGTCATTCAAAAAAATGGAAGTCAAAGTCCAGATGGGAAAGATGAAGTTAAGAATAAAGGTGGGGAGTATATGGATTTATTTTCTACCTTTCATTGAGGCCTTCTAAAAGGAGGGATCTTTAATGGTTTGGGTCTAGGAACAGTTTCTACTAGATACAGTTTTGGGGAAGGTAGGTTTTCTGTTGATTCTCTCTGGACCTCTCCTTCATAACCAGGTCTGCTACTCCATTTATTTTTTGAAGGTTTCCAGTTTTCAATTTCCAGGAGCTTATGAAAAATGCAAAGTCAGTGCTTATAGCGGCAGTTCCGCCCTTCTGCTGGTGCCTGCATGCTCATTCCTGCTCCCCGCTGGACCTGCGTTAGGACTTGTGGCAGTGCAATGAACTAGAGTAGTGAATAGACCCAGTTAAGAATAAGCTGCATTTTGTCAGGTCAGTGCTTCCCCACCTCAGTACCATAATCCAGTTCTTGCAGCCACAGGAATACCAGTTCTGGGATAAAGGAGGTGTTAGAGGTGAGGGACTGGACGTAGGGTGGGAGAGGAGCACAACTGTCCCTTAAATCTAAAGGGAGTTTGAAGGAATTTGTAGTTTTCTCAGGGTGTGAGCACTTGAATAGCATGTGGTATCCTGATATCATAATAGTATCATTCTAACTCCTAAAAATGAAAAGTTGGTGCAGTTACTGGCACTTGCTCATTCTGAAGAAGCTTACAAGCATGTGTCCAGTGTGCTGGGATGCAAGCGCGGGAGGCAGTGGAAGTCAAACAAAGGAACCTTTGCAGTATTTCCTTGTAGAAGGATCAAATGGGTGATCATTATCTTTAACTTGGCAGGAACAATGCAAGCTTGTTTTCTTTGACCTATACATATTAACCACAGATAATATGCCACCATTTAATTATAGGGGGTTAGAGGGCATGTTCCACACACCTAAGTTATGCCTAGAGAAAGTGTTTCGTGTATCTGTGTCAAAAAACGTATTTTCATTTCTTATCATATTTATTCTATGAATAAGATCATGGAGGCTGTTACGCCTCTTGTAAAAAGCAGTGGGTCTGTCTAATGAAAATGCTGAGAAAGCAATATATACATTAGTGACAGTATCAGATCATAGAAGACTTCCAAGATGATATTTTTATGTTACATGTGTTCTCTCTGAATTGTACATTGCCTGTCTTTATTCTCAAAAAATGTATTATTTTGAGGGGGATAATTGAGGTAAAAAGACTATTCCATTTTAAGTAGGAATGAACATTGATCAAGAAGAAGAAAAAGAGAAATGTAAACACCACCATATTTTCTTTGCACCCTAGAACATGGCTTGTTTTAATTCTTTTCACCAGGCTTATCAACATAAACTAAAGCTAGCCCTTATAGGTCAAAGTATTTTCGGGCAAGAAGTTTATAATAACCTGAGAAAAGAGGGCCATAAAGTCGTGGGAGTATTCACAGTGCCTGACAAGAATGGACAAGCTGATCCTTTGGGTAAGTGTAACCTTAATCCAAATGTTAAAATTACAGGCATACATAATAAGCTTGCTGTTTCGTGAGAAGATGATATATATATGGGAATGACTTGCATATTTTGCCTTTATTTCACTATATTCACAACAAGAGCTATGGTTTAACAAAAACAAGTCCCAGAACGGGTTTAACCTTGTTAGTTAGTCAGTATTTCAAAGTTGTTCCTAATCATACAGGGCCATACATTATGATATTAAAAAAATAGATTATTCTGGGTACCTTATTTCAATGTACGTGCTAGAGGTAATCATCCTGAACTAGATCTGTATCTTAAAGCAAATAGCTGCTGAGCCTGTACTCGAGCACAAATGTCTGTCACCTTTTTCAGTGGCTGTCTGGGACACTGAAGGCATGAAGCCAAAACAGTTTATCCCTGGCTTTCTGCCCTTTCTGACAAGCTTGCATGCGGCAGTGTACCTGCAGAGCCTATTTCTCTTCCCCCTGGACTAGGGAAAACCCACTGAAAAGGATAGAGGAGGCTTCCCTTTCCCTTTTCCCATTGCCAAACTGCATAAGGATTTCCTAGACTTCCTAAAGAAAGAGTTGCTGCCTGGCAGGTATTCAGAGTTGTACTCATACAGCAGAACCCAGTGTGACAAAGAAGCTACTTTGGAATCGTCTGAATTGTAGCTCCTTTTTTTTCAGTTGCACTGAAATAGTGAGTTAATATGATTAGAAAATGGAAATGCCAGAATTTGGAATTACCTCTTTCATGCTATACAAACAGATCTGGGATCAGACCAGAGCCAAGAGGTACACAAAACATTCCCCATGGAATTACCTCTTTCATGCTATACAAACAGGTCTGGGATCAGACCCAAGTCAAGAGTTACACAAAACATTCCCCGATCAATAGGGAAGCCATTAAGTGCCCTGCTATCAACTAAAACATAAAGAATAAGGATGTTTATTATTTCCTGCTGGTCAAATATCTGATGAGATTATATTGCTAAACAATACAAGGTAGAATACAGATCTTGCATATGTAATATTGAAAGTCTGTATTTCTAGGTCCCTTCCATTCCTATACCATGTGCAGTTCTTTCCATATATTTAATAAATAAGTGAAAGTTGCTGGAAAACAAATATTTTAGCCAATACCTGGTGAAAATGAGAAATATTTTCGGCTGATAGCTGATCCATTGGCAGAAAATATACGCAAAAGCTTTCTGTTTTCTAGTACAGAGACTTGATTTTGGAGGCGGCAAGCACTAACTCTATGAAAATCTTAGTTTTGTTGAAAATCCAGTTGTTCAATGGGTAATATTTTGACGGAAAATTGTGCTTAAAGATTTTAATTTTTTTAAAATAAGTTCAAGGTCCGTCATTCGTCTTCTTGGTTTTAAGAGATAGTTAATGGAGGATGCTGAAGAGTCTTGAAGAAGGATCCCCAGGAAGCAGACGTACTTGAGGAAGGGGATTTTAAATTACAGCTTATGATCTTATTGTTAGTTTCTGTTATTAGAACAAATTTTTACATGGCTTGTAGTAAACCTTTATGGAATATACCTTTATGAAATCCATCATTCTTCTTCTTGGTTTTAAGAGATAGTTAATGGAGGATGCTGAAGAGTCTTGAAGAAGGATCCCCAGGAAGCAGATGTACTTGAGGAAGGGGATTTAAATTGCAGCTTATGATCTTATTGTCAGTTTCTGTTATTAGAACAAATCTTTACATGATTACGACTGGTTTGTAGTATACCTTTATGGAATATACCTTTATGAATAATCAGAAATTAAAACTACATTCCATTAGTTGCATGAGAAATATTTTCGGCTGATAGCTGATCCGTTGGCAGAAAATACACGCAAAAAACTTTCAATAAGTGAAAGTTGCTGGAAAACAAATATTTTAGCCAATACCTGGTGAAAATGAGAAATATTTTCGGCTGATAGCTGATCCATTGGCAGAAAATATACGCAAAAGCTTTCTGTTTTCTAGTACAGAGACTTGATTTTGGAGGCGGCAAGCACTAACTCTATGAAAATCTTAGTTTTGTTGAAAATCCAGTTGTTCAATGGGTAATATTTTGACGGAAAATTGTGCTTAAAGATTTTAATTTTTTTAAAATAAGTTCAAGGTCCGTCATTCGTCTTCTTGGTTTTAAGAGATAGTTAATGGAGGATGCTGAAGAGTCTTGAAGAAGGATCCCCAGGAAGCAGACGTACTTGAGGAAGGGGATTTTAAATTACAGCTTATGATCTTATTGTTAGTTTCTGTTATTAGAACAAATTTTTACATGGCTTGTAGTAATGTTATTAGAACAAATCTTTACATGATTACGACTGGTTTGTAGTATACCTTTATGGAATATACCTTTATGAATAATCAGAAATTAGAACTACATTCCATTAGTTGTCTTAGTTGTAATAAGTGAAAGTTGCTGGAAAACAAATATTTTAGCCAATACCTGGTGAAAATGAGAAATATTTTCGGCTGATAGCTGATCCATTGGCAGAAAATATACGCAAAAGCTTTCTGTTTTCTAGTACAGAGACTTGATTTTGGAGGCGGCAAGCACTAACTCTATGAAAATCTTAGTTTTGTTGAAAATCCAGTTGTTCAATGGGTAATATTTTGACGGAAAATTGTGCTTAAAGATTTTAATTTTTTTAAAATAAGTTCAAGGTCCGTCATTCGTCTTCTTGGTTTTAAGAGATAGTTAATGGAGGATGCTGAAGAGTCTTGAAGAAGGATCCCCAGGAAGCAGACGTACTTGAGGAAGGGGATTTTAAATTACAGCTTATGATCTTATTGTTAGTTTCTGTTATTAGAACAAATTTTTACATGGCTTGTAGTAAACCTTTATGGAATATACCTTTATGAATAATCAGAAATTAGTTTTTTTTTTTTTTTTTTTTTTTTTTTTTTTTTTTTTTTTTAAGTCAGGTCCTAGCATGTTTTTGAAGAGCTGTCATACATAAATTTTGCTTACCTGGGCTATGGCACTCCCAAACTAGCATGTAGTTCTCAAGTTTATTATACTATGGCACTCCCAAACTAGCATGTAGTTCTTAAGTTCTGTAACTCTACCTCATTAAAAGTTTTAATCACACTTTGGAAGAATTAGAGAAGGAAACTATTAGTTTAGAAAAAGACAATTGGACTATCCAGCTCTGGAAACATACCATAACACTTAGTTATATTATATAAATTATTGTTGTACAGTTATTGCACTTACAAATGTAACTAAGCAAATCTTCCACTGCTTTCTGTCATATATTTGTTTTAGGTAAACCATGGAGTTAGTTTATTGGTATGCTAATGAAAAAAAAAAAGAGAGAGAAATTGCTAGATACTTTGTTGCATTTTACTTCCAGATGCCTCAAACAGCTTAAGTCTCAAGCAAACTTTGCTAATGTTTCTATATCCTCAGGCAGCTATTGTTTTTGTTTCTAAAAGCAATTGCAGTACACACTAATGCCCATGGAATAATGTTTAAGTAAATATTTACTTAAGACCTAGGTTAATAGCCTAAAGATACTTCAGGTGAAACTCAAGAACCAATTTCAGAAGTGAAAAAGAGAAAGTACAAAAATGTGTTTAGAAATATAATTTAAATTAGGTGAATTTTCCATACCTCTTCTTGTTTTCCCTTTTCTTATTATTTTGGGTACAGCTCAATGGATGTAGATTTTGACTCTACTATCCTACTTTCTGTCATGAGTTATTAAGCAGTTGTGCAATGGAATTTATTAAACCCATACAAATTCTCTCTGCAATTAGTGCAGTAGTTTTTTATCACCTTTGAGCCTAATTTTGGGTGTAGCTGTGTGTCTCACAGATAAAAGGAAGCATATCCAGAAGGCATCAGTAAACAGAATTTTGAAGATATTGCTGAAGGCCCCCAGCATCTGTAATTATTTGCCATAATTTGCAATTATGGCAAAATACTGTGGACTTGAGTGAATATTAGTTGTACATACTCACCTTCACATACGAATCGCTGATGTGGAAAATTAAGTTCTGCTAAAACAAACCTGTTGCAGGCAAATGTAATCACTGGACAGGAAATTAAGTGTGACTGTTAAATAGTCAATAGCTTTGTTAAAAGTCAAAAGCTTCTGCTTTCAGTGGTACTTACTAACCAAGGCTCGAGTGAACTTAAGGTTGAGAATGACATAGACTGAGGAATGAGAATCAAAGACAGAATTAATAAAATATATCCAAGCGCGAAGGTTTTCAAACAACATACAGAACAGTACAAAGGGCACCCTGTAATAATACACTTGATGATCTGCTTGAGTTGTCATGCAATATCTCTCTGATTTCAATTTTGAATTTTGAACAAAAAATGTGAATTATAAAAGAAAATTGTTCTTGCCCCTCAGCACTGGCAGCGGAGAAGGACGGCACTCCTGTTTTTAAGTTCCCCAGATGGAGAGCTAAAGGCAAGCCTATCCAGGAAGTAGTTGCAGCCTACAAATCAGTTGGAGCAGAGTTAAATGTCCTTCCCTTCTGTACACAGTTCATCCCCATGGATGTTATTGACTGCCCAAAACATGGCTCAATTATTTACCATCCATCCATCCTACCACGCCACCGAGGAGCTTCTGCAATCAACTGGTGAGTTTTGTGTATCAGAATTACGTGTACGTCACGTTAGGATGTTGGTCTGTACCCGTTACTCATGTAAATGCTGGCACAGTTCTGTTGACTTGCAACTGCCCTGCAGGAACTTCTCTGAAGCAGCTGAGTATTTGGTTCATCGGCTGCACTTCATACCTAAGATTCATGATGATTTCCAATGCAAGGGCAGCAGTTATTCTGGGAAGATCAGTGCTGTGACATTCATATAATTTACTCACACGGGCAAATCGACAATCTGTAATTTTCGTAGGCAGGACACTGCCCTCCCAGCTCATCCCCCACAAACACTAGATCACTGTCACAACAGGGCTTGATGTAGAGCCTAAAAATTCAGAGAAGGGCAGGGAGAAGAGAGAAAAGAATCCACAAGAATAAAACCTTATCTTATTGTCTTCCTAAGCAAGGCACAGCTAGACTCAAGAAGTCCTGTGAAAGAACTACACTGCAGTAATAGCCACAGTAGACACAGATTTAGCATTCTTGTGACAACAAAAATGCCATTATCACAGTGTTTAAATTCAGTAGGAAATTGTGTAAATATGAAGAAACAATTATAAAAGAATCTTACAGGCAGCAAGATGATTATCTAAATATGCAGTGCTATAGATTCAACATTATCACAGTGTTTAAATTCAGTAGGAAATTGTCTAAATATGAAGAAACAATTATAAAAGAATCTTACAGGCAGCAAGATGATTATCTAAAGACACAGTGCTATAGATTCAAAGTAAAGGGGTTTTGTTCATTTTGGTTTGCGGTTTAGTTTTTTTTTTTTTAATCCTTAATGGACAAAGTAAAGGGGTTTTGTTCATTTTGGTTTGTGGTTTAGTTTTTTTCTTAATCCTTAATGGAAAAAAAGCTAAGCTGAAGTACTTAAACAGAGGAGTAAGGGAGACTATTAGAGACATAAAGAAATCATCCCAAAACTGGCAGTTGTGTCCAACTGAGTAAAATAAAGAAGAGCATAAACTCTGGCAAATTAGATGTAAAAAGAGAGTAAGGCAGTCCAGAAAAGAAATCAAAGAACCATCTTTTATCATTTTCTCAAATGCATTCAAGTTTGGAGGTGTATAGGGTGATACAGGTGTTTCATATAAAAAATGGTGCTTATCAAAGAGAACACCACAGTAGGAAATCTGTATTGGTATTCAGGATGGAGGAGCTTCAGATGTTACTACCATACAGCCCTTCTTTGTGTAGAATAAGTCAGAACAATTCTCTTGAGTTGAACTGTGAGGAAAAGAGTTTTTAGATAAACTGATGACTGATGATTGAGTAAAAGACTCTTCTCAGATGTCATGATCTGACATCTTTCAAGTGAAGATGTCAGGGGACTTTCAAGCAAAGGTCCCGCAGCTTTTTGTTCCTTCAGATTGTGTTGATGCAAGAGACTGGAAAACAGCAAGAGCAATGCCAGTTTTAAATGGGTTCAGGGGAAAAGACAGGAAACTATAGACCAATCACTCTGATTTCAATCTGTAGTGAAGAATACAGTTTCTACACAAATGGGTAAAAGTGATAATATGAAAGTGAGATTAAGAAAATGGGTGGTCAAATTCAAAGTTAAAAAATATAAGATAATGTACATAAGGGGAAAAAAAATCCTAACTATATGTAAGCAGCAATAAAATTTAAGGTAGTTGTTGTTACTCAGAAAAGAGACCATGGAAGGATCTCAAATACTGTCCATATCTCAGTTAGGACATGAAGGAACTAGAAATGTTTCAGAAAAGGCTAAGAAAGATGGTCAAAGCTGATCAAAGCTGATCAAAGATCAGCTTCCGACTAGAAATGTTTCAGAAAAGGCTAAGAAAGATGGTCAAAGCTGATCAAAGATCAGCTTCCACATGATGGGAAAGAAATCTAGGAGTCTTCAGAGTGGAAAAGATGTCATTGGGAAGGAAATATGCCAGCAGCGTATTAAACCGTGAAAGACACGCGAAGGTGAGTAAGGAATGATTGCTCATTCTTAATCAAAAATTAAGGGGCAGTCTGCAAAGAGATCAGGTAGCAGAATTTGATTTTAAAAGGAGGTACTTTTAATCCATGTAGCCCATTACTAAACTGTGGAACTGCACATCTAGAGCTCGCTAGAAGATTCTGTGATTCTGTGATTATTAAACTGTGGAACTGCACATCTAGAGAGCTCAAGAAGGATGTTTTCATGGAGGAAAAGTCCATAAAGATCTATTCCATAGGAAGACATAGATACAAACTCTTTCAGCAAACTTCTGAGGTGAAGGTTTCCAGAAATGGGAATATATCCCAATGGTGTATCACAGAGTCTTGCCAGTTTGTCCCTCATTCTGCACAAATGTGTGCTTTACTCCTTTTAATAAAGTAGTTTTCAGTGCTTACAATTAATAGTGATTTTTCACTTGTATAAGCCAGATCCCAGATGATCCTGTTACAACATAGACTGAAAGGGAACACTTACATGAGATATGTCTTACAGAAAGTGGAATTGGTTTTTGCATGCAGACAAATGGTTAAAAGCATGTAGGAAAGATACATATCTCTCCATTTCTGGCTGCTTCCTTGAACACACTTCTGTTTGATTATACATCATTCTGGGGCACGTGCAGTTCCAAAGGAGAACTGGAAATCAAAGTGGCTGAAGTTTCCTTCAGATTCAGAGGCAGATGCTGAGCTGATGTAAATCAGCACAGGTCTATTGTAAGCAATGCTATGTTCATTCACAGCAGCTGAGAATCTGGCTGGATATAAATTCCCTGAATAACTTTTCCTTAAACAGTTGCATATCCATCATTTTCCACTCTGAGTTTAGCTCTTTTTCAGCTGTGGGACAACTGTACGTCCCTTGCTGACCTACAGATCAGTTGTGAAGCTGAGCTAATTACAGTAAACTATGAATTATTCAGATACTATGTTGTCTAGATGCTTCAATCTTTCAAATTACGTCCTAACTAACTGTTGCACAACTTTGGCCTTGTGTGTCCTACCACTAATAATACTGTAAAAATAATTATCACAATGAACTTTGATAGACACCCTGGATTCATTTGCAGCATTTCTTATGTCACTTTGTGGAAACCACACACCAAGAGTATTAAAACTGGGCTTCTGACTATGAAATGAGCAATGAAACTAATATTAAAGATGATTAGGATTATTTTTTCTATTTACCTAACACAAATGAATGTGTAACAGATGGGTTGATATCCCTAACTACTTTCATACTGTGTATTTACTCTAAGGCTTTTTTTATGTCCAGGACTTTAATTCAAGGAGATAAGAAAGCAGGATTTACTATTTTTTGGGCTGATGATGGCTTGGACACAGGACCAATACTTCTGCAGCGAGAATGTGATGTTGGCCAAAACGATACTGTGGATGACCTGTATAACAGGTTTCTCTTCCCAGAAGGAATAAAGGCTATGGTATGTTTAGCTGTACTAAATATCAACATTTTAAGAGGAAAAGAAAAGCATCTGCTGGAGTTTGAAAGTAAAGGAAATATACACAAGGTGCATACATTTGGAAAGGCAGAGGTTGTGGTGCTCAGCTGAATGCTAGACTTCAGTGGAGCTGTGCTGTTTCTCAACAGCTGAGGAGGTGGCCTCTGAATATTGGTTGCTGGCAGCAGGCAGAGCATATCCAGTTTCCACAGAAGTCAAGAAGACGGATTTGTCTGGAATGTAGCTCTTTCCACAGATTTCTTGAATGTTTTCACAAGGTGAAATTTTTTACAGGCTCAGAGAGAGCAGAAAGTTAGGGGTGAGGTTGAAAAAAAAGGCAGTGTGGCTGTTTTAAGTTCAGAGCCCTGGTGGATTGGCTCTGGATTTTCTATGCTTATCCTTTTGTTTTGTTTTATTTTGTTTTAAAATGGAGAAAAGAAAATGCATAAAAAATACGCAGCATGCCTCATTAGAGAAAATTTTTTCTCTCTGTTTAAGTGCGGAGAAATAACTTTTTGCAGAAAGAAAAGGAAATAGTTGAATGCAAACATACAGAGCCACATTCTAGTCCTGCAGAATGTAGGCAGCTGCTATGTATTTGGTGACCAGATAGTCTCATCAAATTTCTGAGGCTATTTCTTTTGTCAAAGAAATTTAAGCATATATGTGTGTTAGTCAGTGCAGCATTGGTCCCCTATATTTTGGAAATCCTAGGTTTTAAGAATAAAGTTCCCCTTGTGGCAGAAAGTCTTTTTCTGTCATTCACAAGTACGATGGAGGAAAAAAGGTGAATCAAGCTAACATTACATTTGTTACTTTTTCATTTAGGTGGAAGCTGTACATCTAATTGCTGATGGTAAGGCCCCTCGTATACCTCAGCCTACAGAAGGGGCAACATATGAAGGGATCCAGAAAAAGGAAAATGCAGAGGTAGTGTTAAATAACACTGTTTTGTGCATATCACTATAAAAATTGTTATTAACTCAAATTGCAATGGTAGTGATATCAAGTTAACATGAATTTTAACTCAGCTGTTTCCCCACCTCTTATTCCTGGGATAACTCCAAGGATGCATGTAATGGAGCCCCAGGTCAAGTTTGTACTCCCTTTCAGCAGTTACATATATTTAGAAACTTGGTGTCCTACTTGGAATCATCTACACCCAGCTAGACAGCAGCTGCACCTTCAGTGGATTCTTAGTACCCACTTTTAACACAGCATTGAATGGAGATACCTTTCTCTGTTTACAAACAGCGCATACTAAATTCTCTCCCAGAAATGGATTTGATGTTAGCAAAAGCAAGTGTTGGCACCTTTCCTGTTAGCACCAGGAAAAGAACATATAGGTCATGTAAACAAATAAAAAACACGTGAACAAATAAAAAAATTATTTAAGCACCCATGTAAGAGTTATATAAGCACCTCCACTGAATTAGTTGGATCTTCTTTGTGGTTGGGAAGGCCACCATAAAACGATAGTAAATGCTGCCTGTAACACTTTCTTTTCCTTTTGTAGGTCAGTGCAAAAGTTTAAAAAAAAAAAGTAAATATTATTCAAACTGTTTCAGTCTCTTGTCCATGGTGAATGTAGTCCTTTCCACCTGAAATATTGTGGGTGATGTTTTTTATCATATTTCAATTCCTGGCTTACCTTAGAAACAAATAGCTTTGCATAAAGATATTTTTATTCATCTGTTTAGTATAATACATGAAGAGCTTCCTTGGAGTGAACTAGCTTAATCTCCCTGATATAAAACTATTCTCCTTGGCTTATAACTTGCTTCTAAATATTCTTTGTGCTTAAACTAAAATGGGTGCTGGGATGATAGCTGAGTTTTGTTATTTAATAGCTATTCTGATACTTTAATTCATTTTCTATACATACTCACAATACTGCAAAGATGAATACATTTTCACTGGTGTTACATATTAAATATAAATGACATTCTTCAAACATTATTTCCATTTTTCTCAGTCTTGCAGGAATTGCAAGTGGTAGCAGGGATTCCATTTATGAAACAATTTATAAAGTGTTAATAAATTATTAGAAAGTATGTTAATAAAAGTTTGTAGATTTATTAAAGAACTTAGGATCCAAGCAATAAGTAGATTATCTTCAGCAGAATGTGATACCTCAGACATACACTTATTTATATTTATACTATACTTATTGAGTTTGTTAATCATAATATTAATTACTTATGGATGAATACCTGATAGCAAGAGTTATAGTTTCATTATGTTAGTCTGAGAAGGAGAATCTATGAAAAGATATAGACTGCACAGAACATGAACGTGCTAAGAGCATCCCTTTTGATAAGTCTTTGATGACGAACTCTCTGCAGATCACGGATCTTCCCTTATTAGTCCAGACCCTTTCTGTGTTCTTAAATAAATGAATGGTTGAAAGAGAAGGAGCAGGAATGTGTAACTAGAATCATAGGATCAGAGAATGGTTCAGGTTGGAAGGAACCTTAAGGATCATTGAGTTCCAACCCCCCTGCCATGGGCAGGGACACCTCCCACTAGACCAGGTTGCTCAAAGCCCCATCCAGCCTGGCCTTGAACACTTCCAGGGATGGGGCATCCACAGCTTCTCTGGGCAACCTGTTCCAGTGCCTCACCACCCTCACAGTAAAGAATTTCTTCCTGATATGCAATCTAAATCTTACATAGGAAAAAATTACTAAATTGATTTATACCCAAACAGAGAAGAATTAGCTGGAATGTCTTGATTTCCTAGATCTCCTGGGACCAACCTGCAGCAGCTCTGCACAATTGGATTCGAGGGCATGATAAAGTTCCTGGAGCATGGACAAGAATAGATGGCCAGGTATGCTCTGAAAACCAGAAGAATGTTTTTCTTTTCTATACCCTCTTTTTGACCTTTTTTTAATTATAAAAACTTTCTGCGTACAGGTGAATACAAAGGAGAGTTACACTGGAGTAGCTCACATTTGATGACTTTGATATTTTGCATATATATAGAACACAGTAGTTAAAATTTTCTTTTTTTTTTAATGATCCATTTAATTCAAATAAAGATAAGAGCAATATCCGAAAAAAAAATGGGCATGGTACAAAGCAATAAGAATGGTAGAACCATCTGTGTCAATCATTTTGGGAAGAAGGCGTGCATTACAGTATAATGCAACCCATGCTGCACAGTGGGCAACATCACGGTATTGACAGCAAAATGAAACACCGTGAGCTACTGAAATAACAAAGAAGATTGTATTTTAAAGAGATTTGGGCCTAGATCATTTGCAGAAACAAACATATCTCATTTTATCCAAAGCCAACTACCTCCTTTCAAAGTATTAAACGTACTATATGTTTGATCCACATAGTACTGACATAAAACATTTTAAAAATCACGTTATCTTTACTGGCTGTGATGTGCAGATTTTGTTAGTTAACTATTAGCCATCTGCTGTGATGCTGCTCCAAAAGCCTGGTTCTACCCTAATATCCAGGAGCTCTTGCTGATTTGAGACCCCAGATAGAACAGAAAACCCCTTTGATACCCCAAGGGAGAGGCAGCATTGCCAGCCTGGGAGCAGTCAGGCTTCTGCTGGTCCCTCACTTTGGGCATGCACTGACGAAAGCGGCTTCCCTTTCTGCACTGGTTCCAGCATGCACATTGTCACAGCTAAGCAGCTTTGCAGGTTTAGGCAGCTTGCAAAGTTTTACAAGTGCTGTTGTTGTAAAGGTACAGAAATTATGTTGTAACATGTTTTCCATGTGTAGGTACTTATAATTTTTTTTATATTCTATGAAAGCTTCAAAACACTTTTATTTCATTATTAGAATTTTAGAGCACGTTTAGAAACTGTGCACTTTTAATTCCATCTATTTTTAGGTGGTTACTTTTTACGGGTCATCATTACTTGATGCTTCGGTGCCTGCTGGACAAGAGCTGGTAATAAAAGGTGCTTCAAGACCTGGAGTTGTAACCAAGAATGGTCTGGTCGTTTTTGGTAATGATGGGAAGATGGTAAGTGCTCGCCCTGGGAAACCTAAGCATGAATGGAATAATTTTAGGAAGAAGTGCAAGTGGTATGAAATTGTCAGGTTCTTCAAATCTCACTGCTAATGACAGAGCTAATTTGCTTGGAGTTTATCAATCCTCTACCATCCTGTGGAGGAGACATTAATGTTTTGCTTCGGACTCGATCCATATTAATTTCCAACATGGATTAAAATTTACCAACACTAGGAGAGAACCTAAAAGATAGGTAGGAGTCGTCTGTGTTAAGTTACCTGCATCGTAGCAGCTTTCCTGCAGGCCATTTATTTTACTATTTCAATAACCATATTAATGCCAAAAAACTCCTCACACAAGGATATATTGCCTCCCAGGTAATTTAAAATCATGTCCTCTCATTTTTCAGGTACTAGTGAGAAATATGCAGTTTGAGGATGGAAAAATGATCCCTGCATCTAAATACTTCTCTGCTGATGAAACAACTGCCCTGGAACTTACAGAAGAGGAGAAAAAGATGGCAGAAGATATTAGGGTAATTCAATAACCTGCTTTCGTAGGATATTACTTTAGAGAAAAGCATCACATACTTCTCATTATAGGCAAGGCACATCTTCTATTTAGCCATGCAAAATATTTTTTTGATAAAATGTACTTAAAGAGTATGGAGTTGAATCTTTAGTTATTGCCATTAATCCAGGTGGGACCTCTCTAGAGTACTTACACGGCACTTTAGAAAATTTTGTTTCAGATACAAGTGGTACAAAGACAGTGATTGCAGGGTTAGTTAGGTAAATATCTATGAGTGGTGAAGGTAGGAGTAAGGAAAAACAAATCACCTTCGCCTCACAACAATGAGTTTTTCAACACTGGCAGACTTGGACAGTTCTGAAGTCCTTTCTTCACTGTGGTGTTACTCACCAAGATGTGCTCAGAGTGGTCCTGCTGGACAAGCTCCAGGGAGTCTTAGAACAGCAGTCTGAGAGAAAAGCAGCAGTTTTCTCCCCATACCCCTGTGATCTGTCTCTCTTCTGCCACAACCACACTCAGGGGCCTCTGCCACATCCCTGGCAGAGGGATGCAGCAGTCGGGCAGCTGGAGAAGAAAGCTCTCATAGCCAGAGAGGCACTTTGCTGCCCTCTCCTGTAATCCATCCATCTGTAGAGAGTGTCATGGGCTTAGCTGAAAGCCTCATTTGTCATTAAAGTTTTGTGCTAGAGCAAGTGAATCACAGACATCTTCCCTTCTGCTAGCTCTGCTGCAGGGTCAATAATTTTTGGCAGAGGCAGCTTGATGCACTAATATTTTAAACTGCTACTTCAAGATTACCTCGAACTGGCTTGCCAGCAAACTAAATCCTGCCTGGAGCTACTGACTGACACAATAACAAAAAGAAATATAAACTCTGCCGTTCATTATACTACCTGCTAACTCTGAAACCTAATTGTAATTAATTGAAATGCTACATTACCAGTTATTTCACTGTTCATGTTAGTGGAAATCTCCATCTCATGCATGCAACCTAAACGACTTCTCAGCTCTGCCCAGGTGCCAGAAATGCCATCAATCCAGTCACAAAGTGCTCCAGGCTGTCCTTGCCTCTGCTGCTGATGTATTCCATAATGCAATAGGAAGTTATTCTGTGGAGGATAAAGATCTTGGAAAAATGGGCCTAAAAATCATTAGCATTGTACCATTCAGGTTTCTTGGCTGATTAGGTGAAATCATCATGGACAAAATAATATTTTTTATAAGCTAATTATGCTGAAGAATTTATCGACTAGTGTCAGGACTCTAGACCGTTCAAGACCTTCTTAAAATAGTTTTCTGTTGTAGAATCCTTTGAAATCATACATGTTTTAGGCACAGATACCATAGAAAATATAGTTTGATTAATACTTCTTTCCCTTAGTAGATTATTCTGTTATTTTGATGTATTATTAGGCTATTTGGAAGGGAATTTTGAGCAATGTTGCTGTAATTGAAGATTCCACAGACTTCTTCAAATCTGGAGCATCCTCTATGCATGTTGTCAGGTAAAAATATTCAAAATAACAACATTTTGAAGCCAAAGTTAATGGAAACAAAGTTGTCATGGTGCTTTTAAATCAGGGTTAATCAAGTAGTGTTAAAAAAATATCCCCATGTATTTTCCAAGACGTTAACTATGCCCTTTCCTACCTTTGAAAATGTGGTACAGTTCTGCTCCTAAAATTAGGGGATATTGATGTAATTGTGCTCTTTCTTTTGAAGGAAAATTCCCCTTAAATTCAGGAAAATCATCCATATCGGGGAGCATGGCGATGCTCAAACCTGTCTGCGTGCAGGGACAGGTATCTCAAGGTCATGGGACTGATTGGGAAGCTGAACAATGAACTCCTCAGAGGGAAAGAGGAGCCTTTCACAGAAAGAATTGGACCTATGCTTACACATGCATTGAGGTCATGCTATGTTGGGTCACCTCAGCTGCCTTCTTTTTGCAACTCAGATAACCCAGGCCATAATATAAGACCAACATTTTGTGCGTTTTTGTTTAAGAAACTGATTATTGTCCTTATTACTTCCTAGTCTCATAGAGCTCTGAATGACCTCCATGTATTGGTTAGAGTAGTCCCATATACTGCTATATGCTATTTTTAATTTATTTCCAAAAGTTTACCTAAAAGCATTCCAGGACTGACATTTTCTTTTCCATAACACCCCCAACTAAAACAAGAGACTTCAGTAAAATGCACACCTTCTGTGCCATTGTTGTCAGAGAAACACACACACATATTCACATGCATACGAACTGGTGCCCAGTTCTGATCCTTTTCAATCTTCTAATGATTCAACTTTCTGAAGAGTTCCTTCATTTGTAATTAAACTTATTCCTTAAAAATCTTTAGAATGCTGGAAGAAATCAAACAGAAATATAGTGGTCTTCAACTACAGAATGAAGATGTGTATATGGCCACTAAGTTTGCTGACTTTATTCAAATGGCTGTCAGAAAATTCAGAGGAGAAGACAAAGAGGAAGAGTTAGTCATTGATTATGTAAGACCTTTTACCTTTTACTTTACCTTTATTGCTTAGTCTTTCTTGGTTTTGGGAGGAGGGTAGACAATGCATTTTATCAGACTGCTTGATGCAATAGGAAATGCAAACATATATTTGATCATACAAATTCTCCTTTGTGACTTTTTTTTTTTTTGCAACTTCTATATATTTGCATTTGGGAATGGATGTATATATGTAATGTCACTTACAATATTCCAGAAACCAGGAGATCAAGAACACACAATACAGCAGCTCACACACAGGCAGATATTCCTATCTCCCCTGCAGTGTCCTGCCAGTACACTTCAGTCAGAATGACTCTAGACCTTCTGCTTTCCTGAGGCTAACAGTGCTAGTTTTTTTTCCTAAAAAATCTCTTCAAAAAATTTCTGCGAAAGGAGAATTCTGTGGTTTTTTTAAGTCATTAAGCAAGTCCAGATTTCTTGAATTTGGTATCTATGCATTTGGTCCACTAAAACCAGCTTTAACTAGGGTTCATTGTTGGTCTGAACATCAAGATCCAATGATAAAAAATATGGAAATCTGCGTAACTTCCTCAAAGTATGGTCATTGGCATTCATGGAAAATATGGTTTCGGTTTAATTTTACTTTTTTGTACACTCCGAACAACCATATATACCTCCTAAAATGCATCTAGATGTTGGCTGCAGATATCAAAAGCTTGCTAAGCTACATTAAAACCTAAGTTATTAAAACTTTAAATTAATTTGTTGTTTATTTCACTCTTAGGTTTCAAAAAATGTGAACAACATGACTGTGAATATGCCGTACCAGTGTTTCATAAACGGGCAATTTATAAATGCTGATGATGGAAAAACATATGACACTATAAATCCAGCAGATGGATCAGTAAGTAATTTCTAAATACGATCATTACCATTTTTTTTAAATTTCTTTGCCTGTTTAAAAATCTAAAACACTAACTGAATATTGCTAATTTCAAAACCATGCAGTACACATTAAACAGCCCCTAAAAATAATTTGAAATTTTAATTTACTTCTCAGTTTATATATTCTATAGTTTCCCATTTCAGCCAAGCTGCACAGCAAAAATAACCTACTTCCACTTCAACTCTTATGTCAATTTCTATACCTGGCTGTATGTTTTACTTTGATTTCATTCTTGTTTAACTTTGTAAACTAAAATTGCTGAAGTTTAGTTGCTAAGGAAGTATTTCTTTTAGGATATTGTATATATTTCCTGACAGTCATCAACTTCAGTTTTTATTTTATTTTTTTTACAAATCTGATGTCTTAGGGCAAGCGTGACTTTAAAATGGCCCTTTACGTTCCCAGTAAGAAAAATCACTTTTCAAGAGGCAAAAACATACAGTTACACTTCAGTCCTGAAATGCTGACTCTTGGCTTAGCATTTCATAACCATGAAATATAAATAAGAGAAGTGATTCTTATGTCCTTGTAATTGTGATTTAATTCTGGAGTAAACCAATTCTGCTGAAATCAATGCCACAAATTTCGCTATCATTGAAGTCAGACCCTGGTACTTTTTCTGAAACTCATTATGGAATGGAATAAAAGTCATAACAATTCTGTATTAGGATTTACAATGTGTGTATTTATAGAACACAACCATCATAAAAAAACCTGTGTGTATATGGTGGTTTATGGTTACAGAAGCTCCATTCCTGAGAAATGGAATATGCAGGAGTAATTTTAGCATGTTTAGATATTATATTAGATTGTAATAGCAAATATAAAGACTTCCAACTTTTGTAATACTACATTGATTTTACATATGGAAAGAGGCTGTGAAATCAAGTGGGACAATGCACCTTGCTGTAAAGAAGAAGAAAGATCTAGGAATCTGAGTCCCTGCAGTGTCCTCCAAACTTAGCCACCTCAGTAGTGTCTGAACATTTTGCAGCCTGACTCACCCACGACAGCTGCTGGGGCTGAAGATATTAAGTATTTGCTTATACCCAGTCAAAGAGTTTTAGAGGAAGGACTAACACTCTGCATCACAATCTCTCAGTTTGAGCTAACACAATGCTCCCTTTGGACAGATAATCGCCAGTGTATCTTCTGCTTCGTTGGCTGATGTTGACAAGGCAGTGGCAGCAGCAAAGGAGGCATTTGAAAATGGTGAATGGGGCAGAATGAACGCAAGGGAAAGAGGACGACTCATGTACAGGTACATGAAAGGCAGCTTGTGTTTGTTTCATTTTCTTATATCTTAATGTTTTGTTACTATGAAGAATTATTGCACAATTTTCTGAGTATGATGGATATTCATAATCCCACTGTTAGAGGTACCAGAGGTACCAGTACAGTATTTTCATCCCCTAATTTACTTCAGTGTACCAGCCTCAGGTCTTAGCTGGATAACCTTTCTTGTGGCAGAAAAGAATCTTCTGATCTCTCACTGACACCATTTTTTAATTATTATTTATGAATGGAAACAAAGAATTTGAGGAAAACATCTTTTAAATACTTAATGGCTTCAGTTAATCTATATGGGTTTTGTTTCAAGGATTGAAAATTCCCTTGTAAAGTCCAAATCCTCTGTATAAATGAGGCCAAGTTTTAAAGACAGAGTCTACCTGGGTTAGATAGACAGAGACTTTTGACCTGGCTAAGCCTGCCTGCATCTGCACTCCATACAGTAAACATACAGCCACGTTGCCACTAATGTTAAAACAGACTGTGACTGACACTAGATTTTGCAGGATCATATGCCAGCATACTTCTCACCTGGCTAAAGACTCACTCTAGGACATGTGTTATGGTCTGTTGTGGAAGAATTGTTCTGTGTAGAAATTCTCTAAGCTGAATCCTACCTTTATCTGAGACACTTCCAGCTCTCTTTTGTATCTGTTTCACTGTGCCAACCCTAGATAATGCCTGATTCTCATTTTGGTTGTGTTATTATTGCTTTAGAAGATAAACAATGGCTTTCCTGAATTAATGGTATTTTAATGTTGGGTTTTGATCTTCGAAGGGGAAGAGGTGATCTTGGAAAGCTGACCATGTTAGCTAGATACTGTGAGAACGATACTGGAGGCAGCCAATAAAAGCCCAATTACTATGGATTCCCCATAAGCAGCATGATGCTTCTCGTGCCTGACAGCAAGCACAGGGAGAACAATATCTTGCAAACTTTGGATGATCAGAAGATCCAGAGCTTCCCTTTAAAGACAACCTCTTTTGTGGAGCTATATGAAGAGCTTTCACTGCTTTTTCAGTTCTAGGACATGCAAATGAATGAGTAAAGATGGGTAAAGAAGCATATTTCTACTCCTGAATGCCCCAGGTTCACATTTAGCTAATGTGATGATGGAAAATCAAATGTCAGCACAGAGGGCATGCACTAGGCAAATTCTGTTCATGTTCAGTAGGTAGAAAGCTACTAGTTACTGTGCTTGACAAAGCAGATGTCTTTAAGGAAGTTAGGATCTTGAATAGACCTGAAATTTCCTGCCCAAAGGAACTCATGAAGGAGTAGCTCTTGTGTATTGAACACCTTTCCTCTGCAGGTTGCAGTCTGCAGGCTCATCAGCATTACTGTTGGGTGTCCTGGCCAAGTCAGTTCTGCTGAGGAGACTCTGTGTTTATCTATAGGGAAAAGAAGGAATTTTTTTCACCTTCAGAAAACACAAACTTCGATAGTGTGCCCATACCCACTGGTATATTAAGCTTTTATTGTGCTGTGCCAGCATGAACCAAGTAGATGTAATTAAAAATAAAAGAGTGTTTAAAAATGCCGTATGTTTTACAAGACATTGCAGGCTTATTAGCAAAAAACAATGAAAACAAAACTGAAAAATCTTCTTTTCTCATAAAGTATGTGACTAGGCCTTGGAAAAAGGCCTGCAGGACTCTCAAAAAGTTGAGTAGACATCACAATGGAAAATGGACAAGTCAGAACTCATATTAAATTAAATACAGTTGATCACTTAAATTTTTCACAAGTGTGCACAGATTCAAAGCATGTACAAACTTGGGTTTCATTTGTATTAGGAATGTAGAGTGCTTGAGAGCCCAAGTTAACTCTGCCCTGAAGAGAAACTTTTAAGGTCTTATATCTACTGCTCTGTGGTTTACGCTTGTAAGATTTTCAAGGGTAACTATGTTAGGCATACGGAAAAATGTAACTCCTCTACACTGCATAGATTATTCTTGGATTAAATCAACTCTCTAGGATAGCTAAACCAGAGCCTTTATGTTGCAAACCATTCCCAGTATGAACGAAGGCCCTCTCTGGTCCACCTTAATTCAAACAAGGCCCTTTTTTCTCTGGCGTCTGTTCAAACTAGAGATTTTGAGTGCTGAACCAAAGAGGTTTGTACCATTAAAGCCCCTAGCTCTGCTACTTTGTCTTAAGGAATTATTAAGAGAAGATAGTAAGTATGAATTAAATCTCCTTTGTCCCTGACATGCCATAACCATTCTTTTACACTGATGCCCTGACCTGTAGCTGGGTCCCCAAGATACAGTTAAAACAGATACTAAATAACATCTTCCCACAACTCTGCAAACGCCTTAAATGGCATGATTTGTGTAACAGAAAAGTGAGTTTCACACCCAGTTTTGAATACTCTTTACAGGAGCTAAAATGCACTTGGTTAAGCTCTTAATATCACATGGGAGTATTGATTATATTTCCGAGTACCAAAATACAGACAGAAGCTTAAGAAAATCATTGATGCATCTGTTTCACTGCCACGTGAGAGATCTAAGACTGAATGTAAAAATTAATTCATGCAAACAGACCTTTCTGCCTGAGCAGGAGACCACTAAAATTACAAGAGCTCCTCATAAGCTCCTCATGAGGCCACACCTCGAGTATTGTGTCCAGTTTTGGGCACCTCAATACAAGAGAGATATCGAGGTGCTGGAGCGAGTGCAGAGGAGGGCAACGAAACTAGTGAAGGGCCTAGAAGACAAATCATACGAAGAGCGGCTGAAGGAGCTGGGGCTGTTCAGTATGAGGAAGAGGAGGCTGAGGGGAGACCTCATCACTCTCTACAACTACTTGAAAGGACACTGTAGAGAGGTTGGGGCTGGTCTCTTCTCACAGGTAATTAACAATAGAACGAGAGGGAACGGCTTCAAGCTCCAACAGGGTAGGTTTAGATTGAACATTAGGAAGGAATTCTTCACAGAGAGAGTGGTTGGGCATTGGAACAGGCTGCCCAGGGAGGTGGTTGAGTCACCGTCCCTGGATGTGTTTAAGGGACGTTTAGATGCGGTACTGAGGGATATGGTGTAGGGGAGGACTTTGTAGAGTAGGGTAGATGGTTGGACTCAATGATCCCAAGGGTCTCTTCCAACCTCAATGATTCTATGATTCTATGATTCTATAAGTACAGATATCTGTGCAGAAGCATTTTTGAGACGCTCTGATAGCTTCTATTAACTCAATAAAATTTACCACAGTCTTACTTACACCTCACTATGTTGCTTCATAAAGCTAACAGATGAAGAATTTGAGATCCAAGGAGACCATGGGCCAGATTTTCAAAGGTACCAAGGCATATAAAATTTAATTTTCATTACAGCTTAGGAGCTCTGTCTGTGGATATGTGGGTGCCTTTGAAGCACCTAACATTTAAGTATTTTAGTTCCAAGTGCAGACAATACAAAGCAGTGTTATGAAGCTAGGTTTCTCAAATTTCAAACCTGTGTACTGAGTAGGATCCTGAGTACTCCTTGGTACTTTTAATTACTTGACATTTCTTATGTTATTTTGTATTTGCTTTCTCACTTACTGGTCTGATTTTCTAGAATTGGTTCCTTATAGTACAACAGAAAAAGAACACAACTTTTCTAATTAATATTTTGTTTACAAAAACCATAATTGAACAATCAGGTAAGTTTCCATAGTTCATATCTTCATCCAGTGTCTACTACAGCCAATGTGAAAACATTTGCAGACCTTAACAGGCAATTGTCCAAGCCCTTACTGAGCACTTAGAGTGCTCCACCTCCAAATTCAGTGGAATGCTATTTTAATTACGGATCTTTGCCATCCCAAAGGCAAAAAATTATGACAGCCGTACTTTTAGGCTGTCAGTGGTTAGGTGCCGCTTCTCTTTGATGTGGATTTGTAATGTTTTTGTTAAAGACTTGCAGATCTGATGGAAGAACATCAAGAAGAGTTAGCAACAATAGAGTCTATAGACTCAGGAGCTGTCTACACTTTAGCTTTGAAGACCCATATTGGAATGTCTGTGCAAACATTTAGATACTTCGCTGGATGGTGTGACAAAATCCAGGCAAGTGACTATGTAAAGGGAATAATCAATAGCAGTGCTTCTCTACACTGCATTTTTTTTTTTCTGACACAGTGCCAAAAACCAGTCACCAAAAGTAATCAAGGAATCAAAAAATAAAGCAAAATTAGAATTTTACCTAAAATG